ATACAATATCAAAATCATAATTATACACTAATATCATAATTCTTTATTCTTCAATTGTTTTTTTTTAAATTAAAACTATGCAATATGTGTCGCAAACTCAGAATCCAATATTCAATATTTACATATATGTTTTATAAAACAGATTTAAAAGCTAAAAATGTAACAAAACCATTATTTTCCCTCATTAAAATATAATCAACACAATCTTTTTTTTATTTTTACCAATAGAGATGTTTTTTTCAAAAGTATAAATAAGGGGCATGATCTGTGAAGGATCTATTCATCCTACAACAAAAGAAATAGAACTAACCAAAAATCATTTTTCAAAGCAATAAAATACAAAAACGAAATACATCAATCACGTTATGGAATTACTCCATGACACAATTGAACGTATTCTACAGATGCTTCCCGTGGAATCATTACTCAGATTCAAATCTGTCTCAAAACAATGGAAATCTATGATCGGAACTCCATATTTCCATAAAAAAACTTTTGATACATCGTCAATCACTAGATCCAGATATCCTCATCATCAATCCCGTTGAATCTGATGATTCTTCGACACACAAATTAAACAAAACTGTAACGAGGATGTTCAGGATGGCTTCGTCGGATTTGATCAAACTTCCTAATCTTTGTCCTCCGTGTGAACCGATTCCTTTGGAGTCCTACCCGATGTTGCTTTATTACTATTATTCAATCACTGGGAGCTGTGATGGTATAATATGTTATTACAATGACTACAATAGTATTTATGTGGTCAATCCGGTTACTAGATGGTCTCGAAGTGTTCCTCAGTCGCGATATCAAGCACTTGTTCTTGACAAGTTTAATCGAGATACGTGGAGGGAAGATGCCATTATCAAAAAATATAATCTAGGATTTGGGAAAGACAAGTTCACAGACACATACAAGTTGGTTTGGTTGTATAACTCATCGATGTTAGGTCTAGAGAATGCTACAACTTGTGAAGTTTTTGATTTTACCACCAATGCTTGGAGTTATGTGACCGGTGCTCCTTCTTGTATTCTTGCATACCACATTCCAGTTTACGTTGATGGATCGCTTCATTGGTTCACTGATGAGAATATTACGGAAACAAGAGTATTATCTTTCAATCTTCATAAAGAAACTTTTCACATAATCTCAAAAACTCCGTTTGTCGAAGCAGATTCCAAGAAAATAGTAATGTGTAACGTGAATAATCGGCTATGCGTATCGCAGAAAGAGTGGCCAATACAAGAAATATGGTTCTTAAGAAATTCAGACATGATGACATGGGAGAAAATTTATTCGTTAAATCTACAAAATGATTCTCATTTGTTCTCCACAAATGATTCATTGATTTTTTACTCGGAGTACATTCTTTGCGCCATTCCTCTGGCGGTTTTGAAGAAAAAGAAGAATTCATTTGTCCTTTATGATGCGCGTGCAGAAAATCCTAATCTTATGATATATAATCCTGATTTAAAATCTTATGATATATGTTTTTCGCGTAATTACAAAGATCATTTTACATCAATCGCGGTATCTTTTTTCCCAAGCTTGATCTCAATCATTTAAACATAACTAAGGCTCTAGTTTTGTTTGTTTTAAACTTATTGTAATTTTATTTGACTTCAGTATCGTACTACCTTGTATTATATTAATGTTTCTCAACATTAATGTTTCTATTGCTTTGCAATAATCATTTTCTAAGGTTCCTTCAGTTTTTCTGTATCTATGAACTAATGTCAGGTTTTTTAGCAAATTTTTAAGTGCAAGCTTTGTTTCGTGTGTAGCTATAATTATGTTTAATATTGTGTAAACTGATTTATAATGCAATAAATTAATAGTAAGAGACTGGTTTTGAGTTGGAAACGGTTGGTTTAGTTCGGTTCTATGACTAATGGTATGAATCTGGTTCAAGCCAAGTTGGTTCTGTTTGGATTTTCTTTCCAAGACTCCAAAGAAAAAATAATCACGTGATCTCCACACGATCAAATATACTCGTTTCATTTAGTTGTCATTCTATATTTTCACACAAATTAAAAAAAAAAAAATTTATATTTTGTCTATAATTAATATATATTCAGTAAATAAATTTTAAAATAAAAATAAAAATAGAAAAATTAGTCATATATATTAAAATTGCAAAACGACGAATGATATGAAACAAAAAAAAATTAAGTATAAAATGACAATTATTATAAAAAATTAAGTGTAGTATATTTTAATTATTATTATAATTATATAAAAAGAATCTCAGACTTTGGCCCCAAAAAAAAAAAAAAAACTTCTTTTTCTTCTTCCCCAATCCTCCATTTTTCCTCCAACTCAATCCACCCAATTCCTCGTCGCGCCGCCGGATTTTCCTCCAATCGTTGCTCAATCTCTGCACC